TGCACACCAGTGAATCAATCACCATGCATCTGTTTCTGATAAATCATAACAAATGGTCTATTTTCCATCAATTTCACACCTATATAAAACCTAAATTACACTACATGGCAGCTGCAATTCACACACTGAAACTAAACAGAGACCCCCACTTGCTAACTGATTAGCAAAGCATTGATGATGCAGAATCACAAACTGCTGCACTGCTCATTAAACCAGCAATAAACATTAAAGAGGCTATAACAGAGCGAGCTGTCTCACCCTGAAGCAGGTGTTTGTTCTCTGCCTTCCTGTGTAGAGAAGCAGGCATAACATTATGAGGCACTGAGCAGATTTTTCTTTGTATTTGTTTACTCTTCAAGCCAAATGTCCCAACTTGAAAACATAAAGCTCTCACAGGTGTGCACTAGTTAAGCTAGGTGGTTGCAAAGGTTAGGTGATAACTTTCTCCCCGAGACTCCAGGTTTTAACCTCCTGAACTGTGCTCAAAATCTGTATTTTCACCATCTTCCTAAGTGAAATTGTCTGTTGTTTCAATTAATGTGTCAGTTCAGTTTCCACAACCCTCAGTTTGGTTCATATTAGGTAATTCTGTGGCTTGGTTAACCTGCCATCTAAAATTTGTCATACAAATGAAAGAAGCTCTATGCTCATTACTCTGTGCTGGGCAAGAGTAAATGTGGAGTTGATAATGATGGACATAGAGCGGTGGAATGTAACTAAGTACATTTACCCAAATATTGTACCAAGTGCAAAGTCTAGGTACTTGTACTTTGCTTGAATATTTTCATTCTGTGCAACTTTATACTTAATATTGTACTTTCTACTCCACTACATTTGTCTGAGCTTCAGTTACTAGTTACTTTCAGATTACAGTTTTTTATACCCATCCTGGGGTGAATTTGTTTTGGTTTTTTTCTCGATAAACTGAAGGACTAGCTGGTTCTTTATGGGGGTGATAACATGTTTCTACTTTAATTAACTATTAAGAAGCCCTCTTGGATTACCAGAACAAGACATTTGCTGATAATACTTCCATTCTTTTACAGTGAGATTAAGTGAGGTTTTGAATGCAGAACCTTTACTTGGTGTGGAGTATTTTCACAGTAGCTGACTGGAATACTTCTTCCACAACTGAGTATGCTGTACTTTGTCAACTTCAGCTTCTTATATATGTCTATTATGATTATCTGACTTGTTTCATATACACTGTTTAAGTACTGCACACCTATACATACTAACTCTTTAAAAGGTGACAGGGGGGATAGGTAGCAACGTAGCCCATTGATGGCCATGCTTCAGATACCTCACTCTCATACCCTGAGTGAAGTCCCCATTATTAAAAGCATGCTTGACCTTTCGCCAGGCACACAATTAAACAGGTGATAATAATGCTTCTGCCGTGATTAACAATTTTATCTGTGCCACTCACTCCGTCAGTATTAGAGGTTCAAGGGGTTTTATTGGTTCTGACCTCATTCCAAAATTCATTATAACTTTTAATTGGCAATTGCCTTGCAAACATTGGCAATATGCCCTTTTGTATTCTAATTTCTTTTCATTTTGACTCCAGCAGACACAGTACAACATTTTTAGTTTTTGCATTTATCACAACTCACTTACCAGCATGTCTGGCATACTTAGTTTACTTTTTTTTTTACTAAGGCCAGACCAGTCAAACCTTAATAGCAATTCACATATGGTCTGTAGTAGCCTTTCTGTATACTGTAAATCTCTGTAGTATTCAAACCATGAATCTGTTTTTTCAGTATTATATGTAAAACTGTTTACGAAATTGACCACAAATCATTGTCATGAGTTCCCTGTGACGTAAACATATATTGTGTCTTGTCCTCAATGAATTTTTATTTATTGAAGCCAGTATTTCTTCCTCATTTTGATAAACTACAAATGCCATGATGATATTAAAAATACCACATTTTCTAATGTAGCCCCACTCAACAACCAATCTTATAATATAACACTCAAAATTCCAGTCTATTTTCACTTTTCCAGGTATTAACCTTGGACTAATTCCCCAACTACAGGAATTGTTTTTGTGTAAAGAGTTTGAGCTTATAAGATCTTGCTTTGCTAACCATGTCTCTTGAATGCAGATGTTTCTATCCTCAAATTGCTCTTCAACCACAAAGCTCCCAGGGACAGAATTTAAGTAGTAGTAGCAGTTGCATGTTATGAATCTAAGATCTCAGACTGCATTTAATATATTTCTTCATTAGAGTAAGTGAAATTTCATGAAATGTCTTGTCGCACAGAATACATTTTTACAAGTGCCAAGATGATGCATTCCTTCCTAAGTATTACAAATTAAGGGGGTAATTATATTCTAATGACACTCTAATGGTATTTTAATTATTCTGTTTCATTTTGTTTCCGTTCAAAGCATGAGATGTGTATTGTGGCATGTAAAGTGACACCTGCTGCAATATGCACTGGACTACAACTTTTGTTTCTGGTGAATAGAGTTCACACGTTCTCCTTTGGAAACTCTTCCTCAGTGTCTCAATCTGAAAAGGTCAGCAAAGACAAAAAGGTCAGGGGAGATGGACCTGCCTCCACCCCACTGAGAACAACACTGATGATGATATCACAGCTGACTGACAAAATTTCTTTGTGGCTGGGAGGGTGGGGATGGAATGTGGGGGCAGGTGTTTCTCTGCATCAGCACATATACAGCTGGTGTTTTGCATGCACGTGTGCCAGTGACAGTTACAGAGGACCCTTTGAAACATGACTCATTTTCCTGGATATGAGATTAGCCTGGTTGATTACACAAACCTGTCTTCTGAGTCACATTTCCTCTTTCAGCTAGCATCTACACTGTCAAGGGTTTGTCCCCTTCCCTCTCAGAGACAGTGCACTGTGGCCTTTTTGCCACATGATGGCGCAAGTGCATCAGCTATGAGAGTCAAGACCACTACATAAGATGGAAAATATGTGTGTGTGTGTGTGTGTGTGTGTGTGTGTGTGTGTGTGTGTGTGTGTGTGTGTGTGTGTGTGTGTGTGTGTGAAGTGTGTGTGTGTGAAGTGTAGGTGGGGGTTGTTATTGTGATTCAGCTCCTCACCACCGGAGAGAGACCTCTCAGAGGCACGCTGGATATGTTTCAAAGATGGGTGGAGAAGCAACAACAAGTGAAAATCCTTTGGGTATTATGAATTTGATTTAGTGGCTTAAGTAAGACTGAAAATGGGATATAGAAGCATCCAGAGCCTATACAGCAGTCCACAGAGAGTGGTACAGTATATTACATGTTCCTAGGAAACCTGAAAGCCTGTTTACTGTTTTACAGCACCCATCCGCACAGACACACAGCTTATCTTTCCTTTCCTTTTGCCTGGAAAAATATTGACCCAGACAGTGGTCAATTCATGTGGATTAAATGGATGTTATCTATACTAAATGGGAGCTTCTGCACTAATATTCTTCTCATATTGTGGCAAAAGAATACTGACTGAAAATATGTCTTTGGTGAGTCAGTTTGAAATTAATGAACGTTTCTCCTTTATAAAGTTGACAAGCTGATATCATGCAATCTGAACCATGACTCTGAATCACTGAATAAGCAGGTCTCCACAGGAAGACTGCTGAGTGTGATTATGTCCAGCCTTTACAGCAGTGGTTTATAGCTTAGAAACTAATGACTTGTTCAGAAGCCCTGTTCACTCAGATATTCTATTTACAAACAGAAATGGATGAGCTTTGCACCCGAATTATGTAATTTATTATAGTATATAAATAGTCAACTTCTCAAAAAGCTGCATAGAGTTGTGAATTGCATTTTGTAAAAAGACAAGAAGACTGGTGTTCATTCTCATCTCATCCCAAATTATACATTACTTATGCTGGGAACGTCAACTTTAGCCTATATCACCTTTCCATTTACTCCTACAAATTGCCAGTGAAACCAAATGTATGCTAATTGATATCCATTATTGTTCTGCTATATCTTATATATATATATATATATATATATATATATATATATATATATATATATATATATATATATATATATATATATATATATATATATCTGTATGTTGTCATTATGTGATTGTTCTCACAGCAACTATCTAATAAAGATATTTGGTTTTACTTACCCTAGGTACTGTGGTTCTGAGATTTGACATTTTAAAAATAACCTGCTCTCTTCTGAACAAGAAATAGTCATTATGAAAACACTCTTTCAGTCTCTCCGTTTTACCTTAGACACCTCTTTTTGTCACTTAGATGTCCAGACTGATAAATATAAAATGTTTACATCATCATTTCACAACTAGTGTGAAGGTTAAGCAGAGTGTCAGCCTTCAGGGGCAGTCGTACCCTCCATCGACCCGGTGGCACCAGGTCTGTCAGTCTATGAACCCGACTGCAGTACAACAACAAGACGCTGGTGTGCGGACTGCAGCTTTCACTCCACGCTGCTCAGGGTCTGCATCAGCCAGAGAAACACAGACACAAACAGGAAATCACAACACTTTGCCTTCAAAATAAATTACCAAATGATTAACCGCTAAACAGAAAGTAGGTAATTATGTGTCTATTTAAAACGTGTCCCCCATTAAAATGTCTAAATCATACGTAAGGATGTACTCAAGACATGCATTAGAGGAAAATAAAAAAATATATAATTAATTGAAGTAGAAAATAGGCAAAAATCATTGACCAAAAAAAGTAAATTCTGATACAATTTCAGTGCAGTAAAAGTAGCCCAAAGTTTTACGCAGGGAATAAAATAGGTAGAGAGAGGGTGTGCTGTAGGTGACTATTTTGAAGGCATAGCTTACATGAAACAACTTGTTGACTTGACACCAAACACAAAACGGGGAATTCAAGTTATTTTCCATTAGGATGAAGTAGTCAAATATACCTCCCTAAACACAACTAAACAAAGCCCAACAAAGAATCCTACAGCCTATTAATTTGAAAAGTTGTGACCGGATATTAAATTTCCCCCCTCTCTAGTCTGCGTTGACACCGGCCACCCAACACAGAGCAGCCTCGACTGCTGTATTCAGAGATCCCCGCTCTCTCCTAGTTCCTGTTTCCGCCGCAGCCTTTTCTACAAAAAAATATATATATATATTTCTGGAGCAGCAAATCTCGGCTGCCGCAGCGTCAGACCCAGCCTCCGCAGCCCCGGTCGGATGCCGCTGGAAGCCCTTGTATCATGTCAAGGTATGTGAATGATAACCCCGCTGCATGGCGGATATGTTAGGGGCTACGGAGGCAGCCCATAGATTCTTTCCCCTCGCTACATCCCGGCCTGTTGACTTCGTCGCTGCTGAGATCACGTAGCGACTGGCGGTAGTTAGCCTGAAACCTCTTTTAAGACCGCAACATTACCTGGGCTGAGCAGTGTGAATGAACGGGTATTAACGTGGTTTAATTTGGCAGCCTTATTAACGGCTAAAGGCATCAACACAGCTAGAAGCATGTGGCCTATATAAGCTAGCTGTGTGTCTGTGTGCGTTTTTGTAGATTTGTTTACGGTTTGTCGGGGGCATAGACGCGTTCCCACCGTTAAATGAGAGTGAAATGCATTTGACCTCCACCCTCGCGCACACATCATGGAAATACAGACACATGACATGGTGTGGGTGTTTGACACTTCGAAGTGTGTATCCTTCAGTATTTTTATATCGTCATTGTGGTTTTATGTGTGGCGAGCAGACAAAGCAGCTGCTGCCTGTGTTTCAGCCTCAATGCACTGCTGTTAGTTTCAGGAATTGCTTTGTATAAATCACCCGGGCGTGCGTTTGTTTTCAGTATTTGGAGGTGTGGTTAATGTGTAATAAGGCTCTCTGATATGTGATTATGAAATGAACACGCTCAGCTCAGCCCGTGCTTCATCCCAACAGGACAGTCAGAAACGGCAGCCAGCAGGGTGATTTCTGCTTTCTGTCCCCTCCTCGCACGCAAACACTTTACAAAGATGACGATAATATAGTTGGCAGCACCTACATGCACAGACACTGTTTGTGGTTCTGTGTTCACTGTAGCTCGACTGATCGAATCTGGCTTAAGTGCTGGTGAGGATAGAGGTTCAATTCCCAGCTGAGGCACCCATTGGATGATGTATGCTTTCATAGTGAAGTAAAAGTGCCATCAAATGGCTTGTGATAAATGTCTCGCTATATGAATGTGTGTAATGTTGTCATGATCTCAGAACTGCAGCTGAAGTCAAAGCATGTCAAGGAACAGTATACTGTTCTTTTTAATAGTACTGTAAATGACAGATTAAATGGAAAATAACTAATATTTTATTGCTTTTGCATTAAATCGATTTGCGATATGTATGATGTGTGGCTTTTTTTCACCTTAGCTGTAGTATTTCATTTTACTTAATGTCTGCAGTGGATATTACAAGGCATATTTCAACTCTGGGAAGCACACTGTGATTTTTCTTCCATTGACAGCATATTGTCTGACAATAAATTATTACCTCAGTGTTTTATAGTGCCACAATTATCCCCAAACTTCAATCCATTTGCAGCCAATATCCTTTTGTGTTCTCATTTGAATTGTAGTTGCTGACGAGGGAGAAACTCAACACCTATGGACAACTAATGCATCATTAATGTTATCTAATAAAGTCAGCCTTGGGAACTGGAAGCAGATTGATTGAGTTAGTAGCCCTAACCCATCCATGAATAAGTAAACAGCCATATATATTGCAGTGACAGCAGTCTATGCCATGGCAGGGGAACCCTGTCTTGGATTCCAGTGGCGAGGAATGTGCTGCTTCAGGTTTGTCAGGGGCCAATTATTTTACATAAAGCAAAGTGACTCACGCTTTGGCAACAAATTGCTGTGATCTGGGCATTGTCATTTTTTTTATTTTTAAATGAATAGGCATAGCCATGGGTGGACCCATTTATATCAGCCAAGTGCAAATAATTAACCATGAACCATGACTCTGAATCACTGAATAAGCAGGTCTCCACAGGAAGACTGCTGAGTTTATGTCCAGCCTTTACAGCAGTGGTTTATAGCTTAGAAACTAATGACTTGTTCAGAAGCCCTGTTCACTCAGATATTCTATTTACAAACAGAAATGGATGAGCTTTGCACCCGAATTATGTAATTTATTATAGTATATAAATAGTCAACTTCTCAAAAAGCTGCATAGGCAGAGTTGTGAATTGCATTTTGTAAAAAGACAAGAAGACTGGTGTTCATTCTCATCTCAGGAATGTGCTGCTTCAGGTTTGTCAGGGGCCAATTATTTTACATAAAGCAAAGTGACTCACGCTTTGGCAACAAATTGCTGTGATCTGGGCATTGTCATTTTTTTTATTTTTAAATGAATAGGCATAGCCATGGGTGGACCCATTTATATCAGCCAAGTGCAAATAATTACATTAGAGTAGTTCATTCCAGGCTGTGTAATTTTTGATGAAGCACTTAAATGAAATAGTAGTGATAACACTCAAGCTAACCCTTGAAATTTACTTGGCAGGTTTGACATTTTTTTGCAGAATGCCTCCCAGATTGTGTTTTTTCTGCTTGTTGAGTTGATTGCATTGGACAGATGTTGCATTTGCTACCATGTAGCTGCTACAACACATGATACTGCATCTATAATACAGGAGAATTTGCTTTCTAGAGTAGTATCCCTCTCCTCACTTTAGCTGGTCTATTATATCTCTTTCTCATTCCTTCCTTTCCCTCCCTCTGTCTCTGCCCTTTGTGCTTCCACCTTCCATGTCTCATGCCACTGTCTGTCTTCATTTTTGACTAATGAGTTCATTAAACATATTAGTGTTGCTCTGCCAGAGAGGTTAGATGCAGTGCAGTGAGCAAAAATGGGTGGTGACTCATTTCATCGTTTTATCTGTATTTAACACTGCACATTTGTCACGTGGCAAGCTCCATTTCTCTGTTTGGTTTAGTGCAGCAAGCCACTGCCAAGTGGAGTTTTATTTAAAACAGCAGTTGAATTTGTTTTTCCTTGCAATTCTGTCTGCAATACCAGCCAGTCACCTGCACAGCAAGTGCCTCTGTTTGCATGAAAAGCCATTCTAATTTCAAGCATCACAGTGTTTTTGGCGCACTGTATAGTGTGTGTATAATGCTTGATATTGGCTTCAGTGTGTTGTTCATACATCCCCTTTGCACACTGTTGTCCCAGATATATCCCTTTTTTTCCCTGGAAATGTCAGATAGATGAGAAGAGAAGCCTGAATAGTGCTATGGAGGAAAGAAACAACACATTTTGAAGACATGTTCCCAGTTTGGGGGCCTCATGCTACAAACACAAAGAATATTGAAGTGAAGAGGCAATGCAAGACACGGCAATGTTTGTAGCGAGCTGCTGTAATAATGCTACCAAAAGTGGAAGGCTCATCTGGAAGCATTGTTTTGTTGGTATTGTTAATCTCTGTGCAGGGTATTTTTGCTCTCCAGTTCTTGACAATGTACTGTAAATAGAGCAAGAGAATAAAAAGAAGCTTTTGCCTTTGTTGTTCCTACTTTGTGGAAGGGAAAGACTTATATTATTATATATGGATACATGGACGCACACCCAATTCTAAGTTATATTATCAGAGACTTGGTCTGTCATGACAAGAAAGATAAAGAATAGCTCATTCATGCATACCGGTTCAGTTAGCAATCACTGCATGTCCAGTATTGGCATTTTTCATGTGGGACTGGTGTTTAATGTCTGTTTTCTTTCTCCTCTACCCTCTAGGATTTTGAAGTCACCAGTAAAGACATGAGAAAATACAGATGATGATGGTTTTTTGGAGAATCTTAGTGTCGTGTGCATTAGAGTGTGGAGCTGTAGAGCTAACCATGCCATGTACAGGAACATACCTGTAGTCTCTAGTTTCTTGTAAGCTTGTTGAATGCAGCCTTTCTAAAGGACAAAATCTGTAAGAAAAAAGCCTTTAGGCCATCACTCTTCTCCTGCTCTCATCCTACCAGAGGGCCATTATTATCTGTATTGTAAGACAGAGTGTCTGTCTAGTGATCGTATGAGCCAATCACAGGGCGAGTGGGGGGCAGGTTTCCATGGAGAAAAGCGGGCCGGACCGTGAGGCTGCTGATGCTCAGGTTGAGCAGCCTAGCCTGATCCAAGCTGATAGCATTTTCCGGCAGCAGAAAAAGAAAAGGCCCCAGCAGGCCTGCCCTGCCGTCTGCTTGTCGAAATGTCTCGGTGCTTGTCTACCTGTCTTACTCAGCTGAATGTCTAAAGACAGGGTAGAAGAAGGGGAGTTCTGAATAGGAATTCAGTCAGAAAGGCACAATAGGAGCTTGGCCCGATAGCCATGTGCAATCAGATTGGATTTGTGTAGGGACTGGATCTAGATCACATAATGCCTTAGCCACAACTGTCTTGGGTGTGTTTGGAGGATGTGTGGATATGTGTTGGATCTGGTTTGAGGGCTAAACTAGTCAGAGATCCTGACCTGGGCTCTCCCTCAAAGAGTGTTCTGCCCCAGCTCTGTTTGGTCCTGCAGGGAGGCTGCCAGCCTGCAGTGCACTCACATCAGAAAGGATGTGTATTTGTGTGTGTGTGTGTGTGTGTGTGTGTGTATGTGTGTGTGTGTGTGCGGATTCACTTATGTGTGCTTGCTTTTGCTATATCTCGGGGAGTTATTGCTGCTGCAGCCTGAGCTGGGAAGTGGGTCTTAAGACATTTCTTCTCAGCTCATTGGAGCCGTCCAGAAATGGGCATGTACCCATCTACTTAAATTCTCTACTTCCCCTTTTTTCCCCTCCTTTTCATTAGGAAGCTCTTTACAGCCCCTTGTTGTACAGCCTCCGGCTTGTCTTTGCATTCATTTGTGTCTATGTGTATATATATACAGTATCTAGAAGTCTGTGTATTTATTCTATTTCTTTAGCATTTCACCAAGATACGGTGAATGCTTAGCACCAGGACAAGAGGAATACATTAAAGTTTGTGGCGCCTCCTCTGCATGAGGAACTGAATTCGCATGAGTATGACACACAGAGAATTTTTAGCTCATCAGAAGTTGCTGAGGGACTCACTGTGAGACACAACCAGCCCCCCTCTCCCTGCCAAGCACCCACCCACCCACCTACCCACAAAATCCCCTGATGCTCTGTGCCTATGGCCCATCAAACAGCCTTGTCAGCTCCTCTGAGTCCACAGCTCAGGCCAGGATCACAGCAGGCATGGAGGGCTGGAGGGATTCAGGGAGGCT